TTTGTGAATCTAAGTTGATACCCAAAAATTCGATGGCGGTGCTCGAGCCCGCGGTTTTGTCTTGGGCGAGAGGAATCCCGAGCTCTGAAAAAACCTTTTGGGTTGTCAAAAGGTGCGCGGCTGGGATGGAGTCGGGAGGTGAGATGATTAAAGTGGTCATATGATGCGATTTCAATTTTTCCTTTCTCTTTGGAGTGTTACAAGCTCTTGGTGCATAAAGAAGATCTGTAAAGTTGCAAAGACTAAAGTCTCAAATCCAAAGAGATATTCTTTATAAAAGTTAAGAGTCAGCCACACCTACCTAAAATGGCTCGTTCTAACACGCCCCCACATGTCTACGTCATGATGTGGGAAGATTTGCATAACGACTCCCAAATGTTCATGCAAAGAAAGAAGGTGTAACTTTTATTCTCGTTGTAGTATTGTTGCCGCCGCCGTCATGTTGTGAAGGCACTGTGTGATTCGTTGTGAAAGCGAAACTACATTGTTTGGCCTTCCAAAAGAGGACGATATCCGCTTCGTCATGCCTAGAGCCTAAAGCTGATCTGTGCTGATTGCTGAGGAAATACAACAACTTTGCGCTGTGGATCGCTCCGCTCACTCTAGCCCTCCGGCCGTTCCTCACTCTAGCCCCCGGCCTCTGCTCACTCTAGGCTACCACATGTCGAAAATTTTAGGGCTGCTTCTGCAGCCGAAAGTGAGGCAGACGGAAAAGTAACATTTATTATGCCAGCGGATGCCGAATAAATGCCAAAAATCTGGGTGAATGGGCATCACTTTAAAGTCAGATGTGATGTCGACTTTGGCCAGCCAAGCGCCACGATGCGCATCTTTGATCAGGGTAATGGCTTGGTCAATGTCATGGTAGTGGAGAGAAAATTCTTCAAGTGGAATGAGGCTGTTAACGGGGAATTATGCGGGGATGAGAGATCGATTATGAGGTGTTTTTTACCTGAGAATTTCCTGGTAGCTACACCGATGGGGCTAACACGGAAAACATTAAAGAGAGGGACAGAAAAGGGGCCGATCATGAAGTTTGCGTCTGTTTCTTTTTTAATTAGGAAATCGCCTGTTTCGGGGTTCGGCGAGAGCGGACTGGATATTGGGGCAGATGAGGCTTTGGGAGGGGAGATTTCCGACACTGGGGTGAAAGCCATGTGAGAGACCCGATAGTAGATAATCTGTGAAAAGGGAGTCAGGGTGATGAAGCAATTCTGAAGACAAATGAGAAACATGTATTGTTGTATTGTAACAAGTATTGTTTAGCATTTTTATTTGCAGCTTTTTGCACTGGACATATCAAGCGGGCGTGAGCACCACCACAAAAATTGCAAAAATGCATGAAACGGCAGCGCTGCCTTGAGCATCTGCCAGTATTGAAACTGGCGCAGACCTGGCTATCAGAGGGAGCTGAGCGGCGGTGGTAGTTGGAAGTGGGTGGGAAAGGGGTGATTGGGATGTCTAGGAGACACGGGAAATAGCTGGTGGATTTGGGCTGGGATGGCTCGGGGCAGGGGGGAGTAGATGGGTTGATGAAAGGGCATGTAATGGTGGAGTGGGCAATGGATCGACAGACCAAGATATGTTGCGGCAGCCTAAAAATACTCTGTTATGGAGTTCAGAGTCCAAAGCCCCCCAGTAAGGACATTGGTTCCACTGGGCCACTCGGATTGGCGCATTTAGCTACAAATAATTTGTGGTAGGTGTAAAAGTGAGAGCCGCCGTATGATAACACGAGTTCGGCGACTATCGCGAGATAATCGACAAGCTCGCGTCTCCGGTGAGGAAAAACAGTGCAGATGACTTCTATGTAACGGGTCCCAGTAAGGGCATTGATTCCACTGGGCTATTCGGATGGCACATTTAGCAGAAAATAATTTGTGGTAGGTGTAAAAGTGAGAGCCGCCGTATGATAACACGAGTTCGGCGACTATCGCGAGATAATCGACAAGCTCGCGTCTCCGGTGAGGAAAAACAGTGCAGATGACTTCTATGTAACGGGTGAAAGCGATCGTGAATTCGGCAAATTATAAAATACGTGACGGGTTGTGAGCTGTGTTTTTTAAAGTGACAGAAAATCCGCCGCAGTTGATTTGGCAATCTGCAGACGAAGGTGAAGAGCGAGCGAGGGGAGGTGGAAAGGTAGCCGCCGGAACCGCTTGCGGAGGCACCCTCACGCTTGGGACAGTTCAGGGGACGGAAAAGGAGGGGGGAAAGAGAGGGGGAATAACGGGCATCAGGGCCTGCACCATTAGCGGAGGCATGCTCGCACTTGGGACAGCTCCAGGAATGGAAGAATAAGGAGGAAAGAGAGGGGGAATGGCGGGCGTCAGGGCCTGCACTATTAGCGGAGGCATGCTCGCACTTGGGACAGCTCCGGGAGCGGAAGAAAAAGGAGGAAAGAGAGGAGGAATGGCGGGCATCGGGCCTGCGCCATTAACGGAGGCACGCTCGCACTAGAGATGGACGGTGGGGCTGCGGGCCATGGGTAGGGAAGGTGGTACGGAGAGGTGTGAGGCAAGGGTTGTGGGTAGGTGTGCGCCGCTAGCAGAGGTGTGCTCACGCTGACGCGACGACTTGTGGAGACTGAAGCCGGCACTTCCCCAAAATGAGATGCGAGCTGACGCTTGATGGATGGAGGACGGGGTCTGGGGCTAGCGGCATCCGGGGCACGGCCCAGGCTTGCCGAAGGCCTTTTGCTGCAGCCTAACGGCCGGAGGCCCGTCCTCGAGGGAGTGGTGGTTAGCTCGGGCCGTGAGTACGGAACACTGTGGCCCTGGCTCGCTTTATCCGCGGCCTTGGAAGGAGGAGTGGAGCTTGGAGGTGCCCCTGTTTGGAGGGAAGTATAGAGGGCGAGGAGATCCGCCTTGACCGACCGTCGTGGGACGTTGACGCTGGAGCTAATGAGCGCCTATCGTAGTCCTGTCACGGTCCATTTCTCCGCAGCTGGGGCGGAGGAGAGGGCTGAAGCGTAGGAGGACGCTGGAGAAGGTGGCTGACGCCTGGAAGGCGAAGGTGATGGCGTGCCACGGTGTCTAGAGGTATGAGCGACGGTGGCGCAGGAAGGCCGGCGGCCCCGTGTTGCAGCCGCGGGCTTGATTATGGTGTCCTGCGGAGCACTGGTGCGCTGAACGGCGACTGGAGACGCCGGAGGACCCGTGGTGTCAAACGAGTTATCATCCGGGGAAAGTTCAATCTCTGACATGTTGCGGCGATTGGATGTGCCAAAGCTGAAAGACTAGAGATATTGAAGGAAAGACTGCTTTGATTATTTATAGGGGTTCTCTCTTGTGCTGGTTGGATAGATGGTGTAATTACTGATGATGGACTGGCCGTGTTAATTATCTGCGCGTGCTCCTCCCGAAATTTGTTAATAAAACATCACTTAAAGGGGTCATATGATGCTGCTAAAAAGAACATTATTTTGTGTATTTGGTGTAATGAAATGTGTTTATGCGGTTTAAAGTAAAAAAAACACACATTATTTTCCACATACTGTACATTATTGTTTCTCCTCTATGCCCC